ACGGTACGCCAAAATGGTTTGTAAAAACGCTAAATAGAGCATTGCGAAAAGCACGCTTTTGCATAATATGTGGCGAAAATCGACATGGTAACGAAAATAAAAAAATCTCATGTCAAAAGGGAAAATTAACCACTTTTTAAAAACACCCAATGAAAAAAGCACCTTTAAGGGCTTTTAAATAACGAAAATAATAACCTTTAATCACTTTTTAAAAACGCTACGTACCATGCATCTATTATTCATTCCCTCTGTTTCTGCAAACTTACAAATCCCTTGTTGAAAGAACAAATGGTATTCAGAGACAATCCAAAAATTAGGCCACATTTTTCATATTTTATAAAAACGAATATGAAGTAAGATATCCCATCGGAGAGTTCCCAATAGCTTTTGTTTGGTTCTGTAAGTATTTTTTTTTTTTTTTTGGCTGTAATCAGGACCCCCTTAATAGCACGGAAATGTTTTGGGCCCCTATGACATGTCACACTGTTTAAAATAGAACTAAAATACTTCACATACAAAAAATAAAGCATTTTTAAGATATGCAATAATTTTAACAAACTTAAACACGTTTTTATTACCTCAATGCCCATAAGAAAAAAGCATTTTTAAATTATGCATAATTTAAAAAAAAAATTTGAGATGCCAACCAATTGTAATCCTCAAATAATAGAATAATTTTCAAAACTAAGAAGCTAATTAAATTAGAAAAAAAAAAAAAACATAAGGGTATGAAATATTTCATTTAACTAAAGTCAGTTATTAAATTCAAGTCAAGTTATAAAGTCAGTTATTAGTCTGGTGTGCATCTTTCAATGCACACCAAACATAACCAGTTTTAAAGTTGCTCTCCCATAGTGATGTGTAATTCCGAACTCTTTCAATTATTGCTTGATTTAACTAATTATAAATACTAAATAGAATGGATGGTGATGAAGCATACTAAGACATTATGACTTAGAGAGTTGAGTATCTAAAAAGATCATTTTAATGACTTTTTAAGTTTTCTTGGTGATAAACTATTCAAATTATTGGTATTTGCTTGATAATCAATCATTATTTGTAGAACAGGGATGTGTAATGTTCGATATTACATTAGTTTGTAATATCGAACATTAATTTTCGTGATTTAAAATATGCATACTACAATACACATTCATGCGATCTAAAAATAATGCATCGTGATTCGGATTCATGCAAATTAAAAATTCAATAGCGCGAGTTTTTTGTTAGGACTAAGTATTTTCTTAAATTAGTTACTATGACAGTGCCACTTATTTCATTGGTAGGTAATTTAAGAATAAATCTGACAGTCAAAAATTATGTTAAACATGAGACATGCATGGTATTTATATAAATTGATAGTTTTTGCAAGTAAAATTTTTAGGGTTTTTCACTTAATGTCACAATAACCCCCCCCCCCTGTATTTTCTAGCTTTTGAACCATTTCATAACTTCTTGTTGAAACATTCCAAGATTATGTTTAAAATATAACTTTTTTTCTTTATTTTTAACAGCACAAGGAACTGTGGTGTAACTACCACTATAAATATAGAATACCAATTTCCTAGTATATAAGACATGTTAACTTGAATCCATCTTGAGGTACCTTTTGATAGATGAAGGCTGACATAGTCGAAAATTAAATTCCCCACATTGGTGACCCGGACGTGATAAGAACATGCTAATATTGATGGATGATCCACATTAAACAGTTGATTTGCTTAAAAATATACTGCTGAAAAAAAAAGAAAAATACGGAGAAGTAAATAAAGACTCCCGGTAATAAAAACAATATTGAAAAAAAAAATGAGCAAAAATGAAATAAACAAAAAAAAATGAAGAAAAAATATAATGAGCAAAAATGTTATATATAAATAAACAGCATTAATCAACTAGTGGTATTCGTACAACAAATTTCTATCCCAGATAAAATTCTGGAAGGGGAGTAATGTGGCGTAACTACCACTATAAATATTGAATACCAATTCACTAGTATATCAGACATGCTAACTTGAATCCATCTTGAGGTACCTTGTGATAGATGAAGGTTGACATAGTCGAAAATTAAATTCCCTACAAAATACAAAGAGTTTTCCTTAATTGGAAAAAAGATAGCTATTAAAGGATTAACAAGTCATAAAAAATTATGTTTGGCAAAGTAANACAACAAATTTCTATCCCAGATAAAATTCTGGAAGGGGAGTAATGTGGCGTAACTACCACTATAAATATTGAATACCAATTCACTAGTATATAAGACATGTTAACTTGAATCCATCTTGAGGTACCTTGTGATAGATGAAGGTTGACATAATCGAAAATTAAATTCCCTACAAAATACAAAGAGTTTTCCTTAATTGGAAAAAAGATAGCTATTAAAGGATTAACAAGTCATAAAAAATTATGTTTGGCAAAGTAAGTAATAATTTCAAATACAAAAGGCTTTAACCCCAGTGTAAATTGTAAAGCAATATCATTTAACATACCTAGTTCTATAAATTGTCAGAAAGTATAATCACGACAACTTTATAAGCATGTTTTCTTTATTTAAAGGATAAGTATATTTTTAATATCTTATACAAAATACATACTACAACTGAATAACCTCATAACAAATATAAAAGCTTCTTTACAACTTCTTCTGTGATGCTTTTCTGAAAGTAAAAAAAAAATAATAATAATTAAGAAAAATACATAAATATATTGAAGTGTAAATAAAAGAATTTTACTATTGTTTGTTTAGATGGCATTTAAAATTTTTATAATACTAAAATGATTCAAAAAATCTAATTTTTCCTTTCTGGACTAAACTTTCTTCTTCTAGATCTTAGGGGCTTTTTAAATATTAACTTAGCAACTAAAGAGAGGTTGTGATTTGCTTATTTTTATTAACAATGGGTGAAGAGGAGTATAAGCAATGCGTATGTATGACACTAAAAAGCTCTTTATTTTAAATTGTTTTTTTTTTAAAGGCAAATAAAAAGGATACACTTGAAAAATGTTAAAATTTGAGGAAAATAAAAGTTAGGAAAAATTTTTTCAAAAAGTTTCAGAGGTTTCAGACTATAGAATAAAACAAAAAGGTTCTTAAAGAATATTTTACTAAACTCTAAATGAAATTAAAACATAAATTTTGTTTTGTGCAAAGTTGCTTTTTTTATTTGAATTTAATCTTAAAATTAATTTATTTTAGTGAGCGTAAAATGTGTATTCATATACACAATAACGTAAAGTTGTAATACCATTTCACTTTGGTCATCAAAAATGACCACAAAATGGATTACTGTTCATAAAAAGAATTCAATCATTAAAGTATGCACTTTTTCTAGCCAGATCAACAGCCAGTAATCAATAATACTAGTAGTAATAGTAGGTTCCTAACAATCTGGGAGGAAGGTTAGTCTGGAAAACAAAAACGCCAGATGGGGTGACTTTTCCTACCAAGCAATTAAGAATGCATTACACATTTTGAATTAAATGATTATTGTTGATATCATAATTGCCAAGCCCCATTTTTTTTTAAAATGTAGAAAGATTCACACCAAAATTGCTGATGAAATTACATCTAACTTAAGAATATCTTGCGTGCTTTCAATTTGTATTCCTTATTAAAAAAACAGGGTGCATAGCCAAATTTTTCAACAAAAAATAAGTAGCTTTTAAGTACTTTTTAAGCACTCAAAAAATATTTTTAAGCACTATATGCTTCAACAAAATGCATAATAATTTACAAAGACTTTATATGATCATGATAAATTAACTAGTTTCTGACAAAGCACTCTTTTCTTGATCACATTAGTCATTATAAAATGATCGAGAGATTTTTGAGTTTGATATCAGAGAGTGGAAAATGAAGCCTGAAATTGAGAATATCTTGCAAAGTGCAGCAGTTGCACATGAGAGTGCAATAATCTCACCGAACCCAGCTCAGTAGACACACATGCGGACTTGCAAGTATTTCAGGACTCGTAAGTATTTTATCAAACATGTAAAATGATTGAAGCTTTCATACGCTATGGACTGATGGTACACTGAAATAAATTGTGGTTGAATGAATTGCGAAAACAATGAACAATGTGAAAAGTACGCTTTTGCGTAATATGTGGCGAAAATCGACATGGTAAAAGAAATGGCTCTCATTTTGGAAAAGGGAACATTAAGCACTTTTTTAAAATCACCTAATGAAAAAATCACCTTTAAAGGCTTTTAAAAACAAACATTGAAAATAAGCACCTTTAAGTACTTTTAAAAAACGCTACACACCATAAAAAATAATAAGAGTATATAGTTATTGCAATGCAGTGTTATAACACAATCAGCTTAAATAAATCCTAAATAGAAGTAAAATAATTTCACATCTTACATTTATTATTTAATGACCTACATCAGGCTGCAACACAGAAAACTGTCAATGGATGAGAGAGAATCTATCCTTGCGCATGTATGTTTAATTTAAGAGACCTCTTAATTATGTCATACTGTCAGATAAGGGGTCTGTTTAGAAGAAATTTCGGTCAGTTAAAGAACCCTTCACAAAATATCTTTTCATAAAAACTGACTCTTCACAAAATATTTTAACTTAA